GCATGATGACGTGTCCAAATAACTTGACACATCAGATGCATACCTGAAAAAAAAATGACAACACGATAAAAAAATGATGACATGGAAAAAATAATATATCAAAAAACTTAAAAAATTATTTCTTTTTCTTTTTTCTTCTCTTTTCCTTTCTTTTCCCCTTGCAACCCAACGCCTACTGGGTTCCTTCTAACCGAGGCTTCCTGGGTTCCATGCTTGGGTTCCAAGGAACCCAGGCTCTGGGTTTCCTAGGCATCTTGGGTTCGTTCGAAACCCAGGCTACCTGGGTTCGATCGAACCCAAGAGCAAAAAATTAAAAAAAAAAAATTCTCTTTTTTTTCTGTGGATTTGTTTGGTTGATGATGATGAAAAAGGCAAGGCAAGGCAAGATGAGGAACTCGGAATTGGGAAAAATAAAAAAATTCTTTTTTTTTTTTTTCTGTGGATGCTTGTTGAGGAACTGGAGAGCACTGTTGTTCTAGGTTTGAATGGGTTTATGGAAGAAAGGGGGAGAAGGGTTCAGGCTTTGCAGGAGGTGGGGCTCACTTTTTTTTCTTGTTTGATTTTGGGGCAGAATGGAACATCATTCTGCCATGTCATCTTTTTTTTTCCAGGTGTGCGTTTGAGGTGTCACTCTATTTTTGACATGTCATCATGCTTTTGTTAATCAAGGACACGTCACTGGATTTTTAACAGAGGGACTACATTGGGGTCAAAATGGTAAACAGTAGGGACCAAATCAGGGATTTTTTGAGTTGAAAGACTAAGTTGGGGGTCTGTACGATAGTTGAGGGACCAAAATGGGGGTTTAACCTATTTTAAAAAGTTAGAGTTTCAAGTCGGACTGCAATTATATTATGAGGTGGTTGGGTTTTGTCTGGTACCTGCTTATATTTTTTGTTTTCGTAAATAATTTAGCATATGAGTCGTGTTGTGAACTAGCTTAAGTCAACAAGATATGTAACTACCCATGTTATCTGGCTTAAGGAGTTTCATTGAGGCAATTTGAACGTGCGTGGCTAAGCAAGAACACACACACACACACACACAAATAAAAAAATAAAAAAAGCACTGAAGATTGTTCAAAAGAAAATTAAAGGAAGAACCCTATGGCCTATGGTCCATCAACTAAATAGTTTGTTTCAATCAAGCTCCTTTACTAAATCTCATCCCAAACAAGCAATTAAAAGTTAATTTGGTAACTTACGGCAACATTTAAGAGAAAGAGTCATGTAAATGCATTTAGTAGTTTTATTTTCGTTACGTGTTGTTGAGTGGGCTCTCTCATCCAATGTGAATGTTGACATGAACTGGTTCTAGTGCTTTGTGACTTTTTCTTCTTCTTCTTTTCAAGTCTTTCATTCAAGTAACTATATTGCATTTCTTTATCTTCCATGCATTGCCAACATACCAAAATTTGTCAATCAAAATCACATACCTAAAAACAAAATAGAGGCGAAATTAGTTTGTTCTTAATGTCACGGTTCTACAATAAAGGAGCTTAAATGATATGAAAATGACTTTGAAAGGATTATTATAGATGAAAATTAGTGGAGGACTAAGACTTCATTTGATTTCATTTGAAAACGTTTTCTGCTGCTTTATCTTTTTTTTTTTTTTTTT